GCGCGCCGGGCATTAACCAGGGGGTTAATCTTTACTCGGAGGTCGGAGGCCCCGGGCTCGGACCCGCCCGTCCCAGGGTTCGCGGGGCTGACCGCGCCCCCAATTAGTAACCAGGCTTTGCAGGGGGCGCCTCTTGCCCCCGCGGGCACCGGGACAGGAGCGGGGTCAGGGGCCCTCGCGATGCCCGGCTCCTGGCGCAGCTGCCGTCGCTTCACCACCCCCGTGCCTGCGAGAGCAGGCCGGGGCCGCTTCCCAGCTCTGCTACTGCCCTCCTGGGTGTCCCGAGGCATGTCCCTTAATCTGCCTGTACCCCGGGCACGGAGCAGGACCCAGCTCCGGTTGGAAATCTGCCTCTTCTACGATTTCCCCCGTCTGAAACGGGCGCGCTGGTTGGCGCCTGGCGCAGGGCTGCACGTCCCCTCTTCCAAGTGCCTCGTGAGGATCCTCGGGGTCCTGTCAAGTGCCCCAGAGAATTGCGAAAGATGCAGCATTTCCCAGGCAGTGATGGCGCTTTATAAGTCACCTTTTTTTGCATTCATCCAGGGAATAATTAACTTTCTCTAAGACTCGGTGTGTGCGCAGCTGGCGAGCTCCAGCTAAGAGCCGGCAGCTGGGACCGCGCTCACGGTAAGTCAGCTTGAAACCTTCTCCTAGCCTGGGAGTTTTTGGCACGGTTGCTTTGCCGGCCCAGAACATGGCAGCGCGGGTGCCGCTTGCTCCTGGCGGCTGTTCCCAGTGCTCGGATCCCAGGATCTTCCCCCTGCTCCCAACCATTAGCCCTTGGCTGTTTCGTCCGGTGCCGCCACCTCCAGAGCGCTGCATGCAGCGGTTGGTGGTTGCAGCCAGCTCTGGGGAGGCAGGTGAGTCTCCTCGTTGCAAGGAGCCGTAGGGAAGTGGGGGTGTCCCAGGTCGCAGTGAAACCCCTCCCAGGCCCACGTTCTAGCCATTGCTGCCACACTAGACCACAAACACGATCCTACTTCGCGTTGACCCCGCGAGGATCGTGGAATCAGCAACGTGGCAGGTTCCCGCTGGAAATGTTCTGGCTCGTTGTGAAGTATGCGTGGCAGATGGAGCTTGTAACCTCTGCAGACCCAACAACGATATCCGGGACACTTACAGGAGTCCGTGGGACTGGAGGGCAGCTGCAGTGTCTGAAAGCCCTGCCTGGGACAGCGTCGCTGGCCTCAAAGGAAAGGATCGGAGGCCTCTCGAGCCTTGGCTGAAAGAGCTGCAGGGTCCCCAGCGAAGCACCCGCACCCGTGGGGGGGCTTTAGGATCGGGGGGCTGCGAAACATTAAACCGAGGCGGTGAAGCAGTCAGGCCAGGAGGTCCAAGGGAAGGTTTCTTTCTCGGGGTTGCAGAAGTGCCGGGTCTGGCTCCGTATTCAGTATTACCCCCCAGCCATGGCTTGGTTAGACCCGTGATTCCCACCCGGGTGCTGCAGCAGCTTGGGGGTCCCGTGAGATCCTTGTAAGGGTGGCGCGCAACATTGCAACTGCCTACGTGTGATTTACAAGCTCGGCCCAGATTTCAAATAAAAATCTGTAGTGCCAAAACCCTTTGGCAGTGGGAGGCTGTCTGAGCCGTTTCATAGTCGTGAGGGGCTGGAAGGGACCTTACGGGTCATCGGGTCCATGTGGGCAGGAAGAATGGCTCTAGGATTTTTCCACAGCCGAAAACCGAGTGAAAACTCGGAGCTGGCAGTTTCCTGGGAGACCAGGCTGAGAATCGCTTGCTTGGACCGGTGAGATGTGTAAGGCTGTGATGAGACGCAGAGGACAACTGCTTTACCAGGAGAGCACGTCGGGTGTGATGTGACCCACCTCTGCAGGCCCCCGCAGCAATGCAGCGAGCCAAACCCCCGTCGTTCTAACCCAGAATAACACCACGGCGGGGACAGCAGGTTTGCCCCTCTTGTATCACCATAAGAGCGCAGAGGCAGCAGTTTTTCAAGCAGCCAGTCCGTGTCATGGTGTGCCGTTCGATGCTGGTGTAATTATTACGTCTTATCTCTGCTTCTGCCAAACTTGCGGTCCCGAGCGCAGCATTGGCTCCGTCCGCAGCGGTTCTGGAGCGTGTCGAAGGCTGGTGAGGACAGAATCGGAGAAGCCGGGCTGGAGGGGACCTAAGGCAGGATCAGCCCTATCCAAACCATCCCATCCAGGTCCTGCTACTAAAGCTACACAATCAGCTCTCGCAGAGCCGCAAGGCAGAGCCCCCTGCCCTGCCCCCGGGAAAGCAGGGGGACAACGGCAGTCTGTGTCCTGGTGCTGCAGAGGTTGTTAATAGATGCTCGAGAGATCCCAGGCAGAAGCCATGCCCCATGCTATGGAGGATGACAGTCCCCTCCCAGTCCGTACCAGTTTGATCATGGGGGGGAAAATTCCTTCCTGACCCCAAATGGGATCAGTGTGAGTAGAGGGGCCTGCTGATGGGCTCAGAGGGCTGGTTTAAGGAGCAGGAGAGCAGCTCTGTGATATGTCCCTGCTTCAGCTCCGCTTAGCCAGCGAACACGGTGGTACATGGCCACCTCCGTGCCAGCAGCTCTTGGATCCCGGTGCCAGGCTGAAGATCTCGGTCCCTGTTTGTAGGGAGCAGCTCCCGAGTGGGATAAAAGCCACGGCCTGTGCTGGGCACAGAGTCGTAGTGAGGTCGGGCTGGCAGGGCCCTCTGGTTGCCACGTCTGGTCCAGCCCCATCTGAATCATCCCTGTCCACAAGGCACGATGGAAACCGGTGGGTTGTGGTGGTTTGTTAAGAGCTGGCTTGCAATCGCCCCCATCGCTGCACATCAGTCCCTATAATAAAGCTTAGGTGGCGATGCACCAGGGATGGTGCACAGGTGAAAGCTGCTGTGTCCCCCACCAGCTGCTTGGAGCTACTGGCACCCTTGACCTCCTTGGTCAACGGACTTGGCCATTTTGACCTTGACCTTGGACACGGGAGCTGGTGTCGTGCAGGAGCCTAGCGGAGATTGCTGCCTGCACAGAGGCCGAGCCCCGGGGGCTCTGACCCCCTGTGCTGTGCGCTGTGCAGATGTGTGACCGTGGGCCTGTCCATGTTACACTCGTGCCCAAAGGAGGATTTTGCCGATGGACCTACCTCGGCTTGGGTAGGGTGCAGTACTTTGTCATGGCCCTGAACAACAGGAGATGGCAAAGGTGGGGTTGGCTTGATGCCTTGTATGGTAGGGGCTGAAGTTCGGGGTCTGGGTCCCTCTTCGGTGGGTGAACACCAGCAAGCCCTACATCGCCATGCTGGGAGAGTCTCGCAGTGTGGACGAGCCCATGACACGGGCTTATTCGCTGCTTCTCTCTCTCCCTGGGCTTCTGCGGGGTGGCCTGGGACGGGGGGTGTTACCAGAGACTGGTTGGTTGCGGAGGCTGATCTCTGGGCAGTGTCGGGCATGGGAGAGCAGGGTCCGTTTACCAGTGCTCCCCTTCTCCAGCTCAGCCTTACAATGGCACCCGCTTCGGCCAGCTTCGACATCGATGCCCCGCGGTGGGACCAGACCACGTTCGTGGGGCGCCTCAAGCACTTCTTCAACATCACGGACCCGCGCACGGTGCTGGTGTCGGAGCAAGAGCTGGACAGGGCCAAGGCGCTCGTGCAAGGCTGCAGGTACACAGCTGGGCAGCCCAGGCGCCTGGAGGCCTTTCTCAGGGCTACACCATGAACCATTGAGGGGTTGGGATGGGGGCGACATGCAGCACGAGGCTCCTCACTGAGCCCTCCCGGTGTGGGTTCCCATCCAGCCCCCGCGGGTAGGAAAGAGGTGAGCAAAGCCTTGCACTCCTGCCGACTGGGGGAGTTTGAACCTAGGGCTCCGGGGTACTGTGAGATCTGGTGGAAGGAGTCGAGCAGCCTGGCTCCCGCGTACTGGAGCACATGTCATTTGGGTGTATAGCTCCCTGATGCCCCGTGGCGGGGGAAACCAGGCTCTGCCAGGGGAAAACCCTTTTCCCCCTGGCAGAGCCGT